CTTTACTAATTTCCAATGTCTAATTCTGGGGTTAGCCACATATCGAGTAGCAACCAGCCCCACTGCATAAGTTATATCGAGTCCAACACAGTTCATCAAATCGTTAAAAGAACCGACAGCTTGTGCATAAAGGGTATTTTTTCATAATTTCCTTTTCTGTCACTTTTAGGACATATTTCCTTACATAGTTTATAATATTTGTCAATCAGGGTGGCCATTGGTTTAGAGTCCACCATATTAAACCTCTTTAATATCTTAATAATATACTAATTTAGAGCTAACAATCTTTTATTTCTATATCTCGTCATTTTGATTCTTAATATATTATCAACTTGTCCCATGTCTCTTATCTCGAATTTGAAGGATAACTCTTGCATCACTCCTAATTAAAATTATATCGTCTACTTACAAGACCAAAATCAAATGTATATCGCCATATATCAGGTATATACATAGTAATCATCAGTAATACTATTGAACCCATATTCTCTACAAGCTTGAGTAAACATTAAACTACCTTAAGCACTGCTTTAAACCATAAAATAATTTAATTAATTTGCATTTTTTATCTTTTTGTCATTGAATTCAAAACCTTTAGGTTTAGTCATATAAATTCCTTCATCTAGTTCTGCATTAAAAATGCTGACTTTACATCATTTGATGAACCTCAAAATCATAATGATTGGCTATTGCTAATATTATTCTTATTGAAGTTTTTATTGCTACAGGTAAAAATATTTTTTGGAAATCAATTCCTTGTAAAAATATTTTTTGGAAATCAATTCCTTAATGTTATCTGAGCCCCTTAGCCACTAAACCAGCTTTATATTTTGAATATGACCATCAGAGTTCAATTTCTTATAATTTACAACCAATTGTCTTTTTATCTAAAGGCAAATCTACTATGACTTATGTTTTATTGCTCATTAGGGACTTATATTCACCCTTCATAGATTCTACATAACTATTTGCTTCATCAGAGCTAATGGCGTCTTTAAAATTATAAGGTCCATCATTCAAATCATTATAATAAACATAATCATGTAAATAACTTTGTTTTTTAAATTTTTCTAGTAGTCCTTTAGGCTCATACAACTTAGGGGTCAGATCAACTGTAGAAGTGCTTTTAACATCAATTGTCCTAGAATCTGGTGATTCTTGTTGGTCACTTTCTTCTAAAAGTCTAGCTTTATGTATTAGTATTTGAAAGTCTTCAAAGAAATGGGCGTCTCTAAAATCTATGATTTCTTTAGTTTCATTATTGTAAAATCTATTTTCCTTGGAATCAGCCAAATATCCAACAAATATACGCGTGACAATTTTAAGTCATAGTTTCTTTCTCCTTCATGAGGAATATGAATATGTGCTAAAGAGCCTCATACTCTACTATGATCTAAACTAGGTTTTCTTCCAAACCACAATTCAAAAGGTGTTACATTAGTAGATTTAGAAGAGACACTATTTAATGTGTATGTTGCTATCATAATAGTTTCACCTAAAAAACAATATTCTACACTGGCCTCTTGTATCATACAATTGACTATATCAATTAAAGTTCAATTTTTTCTTTCGGCGATACCATTTTGTTGAGTATATGGTAAAGAAGTTTGCCCAATTATATCGTTCTCACCACAAAATTGATTAAACTCATATGATATATACTCTTATCCTCTATCATTTCTAAAAAATTTATGCTTTTTTATTTTATTGGTTTTCAACTTCTGCTTTAAATTTCTTTAATTTGTCTAATGCTTCATTTTTATGGGTTATTAAATAAGTGTAAGAATATCTAGAATAATCATCTATAAAGTGCTAAAATTCACACCCACCAAGACTTTTGGGTTTTAATTTACCACAAATATCAGTATGGATATTTTCAAGTTTTGAGCACTTTTACCCTTAAGAAATAATTTTCTATGTATTTTTCCCTTTAACCAAATTTCACATTTGAAAATTTCTTTTTCTAAATAATGGATTATATTTTCTTTCATTAAACTATTTAGTTTTTATAACTAATGTGACCAAGCCTTATATGCCAAACATTGAAACATTCATCATAAGCAAATGAAATCTTCATTTTATTATCAAGATCAAGCTTGTACATATTAAGCAAATGGCATCTTCATTTTATTATCAAGATCAAGCTTGTACATATTGCCAACTATAGTGGATTTTACAACAAAAACGCCAATTTTCTTAATAATCATATTTTCATCTTTTCATAGATATCACCTCCACTCCTATCAATCTTAGAAAGAAAAAATAAGTTCTTCATCATATCTGGGCCATACAATACATCAGTAAGAGTCAAAGTGCCACCATGTGGAAATGAAAGTCTAATAGTTCCCTCTCTAAGAATATTGATGCTAGACGACCTGGCCATATATAGTTTTCCAGCACCGTCACTCATTTTTTTTTAATCTACCATATTGTTCTTGGTATTGGAAATGTACCGAGTAGCTCCCGAGTCCACCCAACATTCATCAAGGGAACTCACCATCAATGATTCTTTAACCTCAAAGGTAAAGTCCTTAGTGCCACTCGCTTGTCCACCCTCCTTCTTGGGTTCCCTACAATATTTGGAAATATGACTATGTTTATTATAATTATAACATTTCTTAAATTTTAAAGAAGTTTGTCCTTGATGAGGCATCTTAAATTTCAATTTAGATTTTGCGTTCTCATTCTTGTTGGTCATTGCTAGATAGGCATGGTTACTATGCTTTCATTCTTCTCCCTAACTCTCATTTTCTTTCATCCTTAAGTGTCTAAAGTATAGACAATCTCATTACGACACAAATTTTTGTTTAAAAACTTCTATGAGTTAAGAAAATTTTATATAATCTTCATAATTTGTTGATGTTCACTTATGGATTCATCAAAACCAGTAAGTTGATTAGCCATGATGCACATATCATCAAAATATTCAATTACCGTTGATTTTCCTTCATCCTATACATATTGTATCTTTCATACAATTTACGCTTAGCCATATAGTTATCATTGGTGCGTCTTTTATCAATAGCTGCTCACAAATCTTTAGCATTATCATAGTCTCTAAAGCAAAAAGAGATTAGTGGTACATGAGATTAGGCTCAACAGTAGCTTGTCTCAGGGTGACCTTGCAAGGTTTTAGGTGCTCCCTTGTGACCAAGACACCTCTAAAGTTTAGAGAGAGAGAGAGGAATAATGGGCAGTAATTGAGAAAGACTAAAACACCGTAGGTTTTTTTCCAACTTATCTCTTTTTAAGCCTCAAAATTCCAACGGTGGGTTTTTGGAGAATGAGTTTTCTTTTTTTTTTTTAATACTTAACAAAAGAAATACATGAAAAACATATTATAATATATTATAATATGATTAGGGGCATTTTTTGTCATAAAAAATTATTTTAAAAAATAAAAAATATGGAGAAAAAACTCACGCCAACAGACCCCACCCACTTGTCTCTCGCTCTATCAAAAAACAATACCCCCCCATTCGAACCCCTATTACCAATCTCCAAGAACCTACTTTCTTCTCTCTTACTCGCCTCCACCTCTCTCTCTCTCTCTCTCTTACTCTTTCTCTATCTCTCTCTTCTATCAGCATAACCCACTACCCCTTTTTACCACAAATGGGTAGAGAGAGAAAGCACAAGGGTAGAGAGAAGGCTTCAAAGGCTCTGCTATCTAGACTTTACTCTAGGCTTTAGAAAGAGAAAATCCATTTCGTATACAAAACAGTAAAATCTAGAGGGAAGAAAGAGACAGTGGCTACTACAATTTGAATACAGTCATGCAAGCAAGGAGTTGCCAATCTCTCCCTCTCCCTCTCTAAATAAAACAGCTTCTTTATCCTGATAGATGCAAACATTGTCGCACCATTAGCCCTTTCTCTAAAAAATCAATGGCCCATCTCCATTACCTCTCTCCAGTTAAAAAAATCTTTCATAAAATTCCATGGTTCCTCTTTCTCTCAGAAAAACTCTCTCCAACGTAAACCACCTTTTTTGTTTCTCTCATGACAAGCATATCAACAAAGATGTAAGAAACCTATCTTTCTCATCCATAGCAAGCAGATGATCCCTCTCTCTCTCTCTCTCTCTCTCTCTCTCTCTCTCTCTTCTCTCTACTTACTACTACTACTACGTACTACTACTACTACTCTACGTACTCGTACTACGTACTACTACGTACTACGTACGTACTACGT